TTTTTTTTCTTTTTCTTTTAGCTTATCAAATATTATCTTACCAGGAACCCCACCACCCCATAAACCATTCTTTTATTTTTTTTATTTTTTAATATCTTTCAGATCTGTGGGTTGAAAGATCCACCCTATCAATCCATGTTCTCAGACACTGATGCGAACAATGCAAATACACAGAGAGAGATAGAGAGAGTTTAATAAACTCAAAAGGAATGATCAGTGCAAATTCATAGATAATTATAGCTAATAAAAAACACAAGAGGAAGGGACGGCAAATGACAGAGAAAGGTCTCTATTGCTGAAGGAACGTCTTTCCTCAACCAAGTCATTGTCTTAGTTTAATATAATGAATTTGAAAAAGAAAAAAAGGGTTTTGATAGCTAAACAAATAAGTTTATTAATATATTGGACTAGAAGGGAATAAGAAACCCCTTTAATCGAAAGTCAAGTTTTGGTAGCTAAGCATTGAATTAAATAACGCTACCTGATTGAGACTTTAAACTGATCAAGTACTTATTTATATGAGTTGGAACTTTTATACTGCTTCTAATATTACTTGGAAGAATATGCTTCTTATGAATCTTTTATATCAAACGAATCACTAATTTCACTGTAGTTGTCATGATTTCCAAGACCAGCTTCATGGATTTAGTTGTTGTCACTGCTCCATCCATTGTCTCTATTTTTAAAGCTTCAAATCTATGCTGAGATTAGTGTGGTAATAATTATGCCTAGAATATCTTCTCTGTTGATGAGAACAATAGCTCTGTTAGAACACAATAAATAAATCTTAGGAAAATTACATAAAACCTTCTTCATCAAACTTTGTATACATCTCCGCCCCCCCCCCCCCCCCACCAAAACAAAAATAAAAAAACAAAATATAATTATTTTATTGACGCCATTAACCCATTTGTTTTTTTTTTTGTTTTTCTTTTTTTGAGAAAATATGTAATAATTTCATACAAAAATGCCCTTATAGCTTCTATTATATTCTTTTTAAGATGTTAAGGCAAGTCCAGCGCTTGGAGTATCAGATCGGCCTCATTTTTAAGTTCTTTATAGAGATCTAGGACAGCCCGATGCTTGGAGTAGTGAAGTGTAAAACCAGCCTCATTTCTAAGATTTCTTTTAGAGGCAGAGGCTAGTCATGCACTTGGAGTGCCGGACTAACATCGTTTCTAAGTTTCCTCAAAATCCAAAGTGCTGAACGGGCCACTCTTCTAAACTTTTTTCAAAGGCTGAGATCGATCATGCATTTGGGTAGCCGGACCGACCTCAATTATCCCCATACCTAAAAGTTTTGATTCAGGGATCTATGCCACAATAATAATGGCAGGTAAATTGAAGCGAATAAAAAACTGTTGGGGTGGTCTATGTAGAAAATCTTATATCTAGGGAGTTTATATAATTTTCACTAAAGCTTAAAAATAAATTAAAGATAGGGTTTTGTTGTGTCACCAGACTCACCTATTCTAGTGCATCCACCTTTCAATTTTATTTTATTTTTATTTTTTTTTGGTAATTCAGTGTGGAAGATAGATCTCTACCCATTTGTTCAAATAGTTTAGGAGTTAGTTTTTTTAAGATGTCAATGAAAATGGAAATCACAATGTGGTGGCTAGGGTGTGGGGGTGCCATCAACACGACCCCATCCCCTTTCCAAAATAGTTCTATAATGGCATTCACCTTTTCAATGTCCATCATATAGATGGATCTTGGATCCCAAACATTATACATGCTTTGCAGGGAAATTACAACCTTAAAAATAGTCCATTTTGTATTTCTTTTTGGATTGTTTCGCTAAAATTCTTTAAAAATCATCAGATGTACACTATCTTTAGTGCTCTAAATTCATAGATATGAGGCAAAAATGAATTTGTAGTGATTCAAGATGTCATCATCATCATCAGAGTATTTTTCCAACTATTTGAGATTGGCTATACGAATCCTGGTCTACTATTCTACTCTATCAAAGACCATACCCCTAGTGAGGCCATAAATCCCCATAGTGATGTGCATGTTCTAAAATCCTTGAAAGCCCTAGCAGATGCATGAGTGTATGGACACACCAATAACTTTTTATAAATTACATGAATAACTTACCTTAGTTTTACGTCAAAAGTTGAACCTTGGAGTCACATAAGATGGAATAACAAATGAATACCTGTGCTAGCAATCAAATGCAATAGACAAGCTCCAAGTACTTAGAACAGCCTGTTTACCTCATTATTCAACCGAGTATATTCTTTTTCTCACTAGGATTTGTTCATGGAGTTGAAACCAAGGAAGACCTAGAGGACCCACATTCTCAAAATTCTTGCAAGCATTATTATACAATACTCAAGTCTTGCAAGTGTGAAAGCCTAGAGCAATACAAGTTTCTTCAATTGGTGATAGACTTTTTGTAAAATATTAGGCATGTCATATAGTGAGAGAAAGAGTCTCATTTTATATGACTAGTCTTGACTTTGGTATAGTTTTGTAATAAATATCTATGTTATAGAGTTAGAAAGTTTTTGTAATAAAATATCCATGTTAGAGAGAGAGAAAATGTCCCCTTGTCTAAGTTACAAGAGGCATTGATTTGAGACGGTTGAAACTATGTGGGAAGTCATGGTGAAGTGAGATTAGGGTTTCTTGGTTGCACCGAAGGTGAAGCAACCAAGGAAGGCAAGGAGATACTTGGCGTAAAATGTAAAATAATAAATATCTCTATTCTACTACACATGAAGAAGAATAAATGACGATATACAGTTTAGGAAACTGCAAAAAATGATTGTGAAAGACCACACTATTTATTTACTCCTTCAGGTAGAAGATGTATTTAAGAGTATTCTTTTTATCTAAATTTTATTATCCACTTAGAATCACCGGTTGAGTATTTTCACATGACGAAATTGGATTTTGCGTTACTAAGCAATTAGATCTGACAATCCATAACCGAATGATCTCCATTCAATATTAGGAGGTTATTTATATCATGCATATAGAATATGAAGAATTTTCCCCCTTTTTTTTCTTTGTGGTTGGTAGTTATGTCCAGAGTTATATCCCTAACATTTAGGGCTCTAAAAATACCCTCATATAGAATTTTAAGAAATTTACGTAAAACTATGAAAAATATATGGTATCACCCAGTGTTTGCAAAATCGAACAGAAATGGTTAATCAGAAATGGGCCCAAAAACGGTTTAATCAGCCTAACCGGGCAAGTCCCGGGCAATCAAAAAACTATTGAAAAAATAAAAAAGATACAAAAAATAAATCAATCTACTAAAATATGAAAAGTATGTAAAGAATTATTAAAACAAAACGCGTACAAATGAAGTTGAAAGTTAACGAAAAAATATATTTTAATGAATTGATTTTTGAATTAAAGTGAGTATTAAAGACAAAAACAATTTTTAATCTTTACCATAATATAAAGAATATTAAAAAATACATTACAAACTAAATTCTTTATTTTTGAGAATTAATATAAATTTTTTTGAAAAAAATTTTAAATACCAGTCGATCACCAAAACCGTCCAAAATCGGAACCCGCCAGTGGCCGGTTCCGATTTAATCGGACGGTTAGCAGTTGGATCACCTGGTTTTTCTAACAATAGTATCACCACATGGTTGATACTTTGAGGTATATTATGTTGAAGTCTTATTTTTATGGGTCCTTTTTATTTTATTTCTAGTTCAAAAGTTCTAATTTTAAAAAACCAAAACACAAAAACGCTTATAAATTTGGAAGATTGAAATTTCGAAATCTCGAGCTGCCTAAAATGTGTGTTTAAACAATTCGAATGTCCTACTTTCTAATTACTCAAAGAAAAAAATAAAATAAAATACGTAAAAGGTTGGCTTCTGAGTCACCCAAATACATCAATCTATTTGATTGGTGCAGTTCAAGAGTTGGACTTTCAACTAAATACATAGTTTAGGCCGTTCAAGAGTTAACTTTCAAACTACTCAAATGCATTCACTCTTTTTGTGTTTTGTGCAATTCTTAAAACAAGATTTTCAAATCGCAGGAAAATGGGAATAAAAACTTAAAAATTAGGACCTCTAACGGTTTTCTTGGTTTTTCTAGTCCATACATAAATTTCTCTACTATTTTAACCCAAAGGAATACGTACCCGTAGGATCATATAATCTTTTGGCTCTATTTTTTTTTTTTGGATGATAGTTAATGAATATATATAGTATTGTTAGTTTGATAGAACTCTTAAAAAAGAAAAGAAATGATCAAGAAGTTTAAATGTGAAAACCGGATTTAAAAGGTTGAAAATGGGTGAGAGAGAGGAGGAAAAATACGAAAGAGGGTGGTTAAGAGACAAAGAGAAGAGTGCAAGAGAGAGAATAATAGATTGATTAGATTAAAGTAATTATATGGTAGGGAGTAGGAAAGGGATCGAACATTGGAATTTTCCTGAGGTGTGCAACCGAGGAACACACCACAGTCCCCATCTCAGTCAGAAAGCATCCTGCGTAACGTACTGGACCAAACTTACAGACAGGTTCGTCGGCAGAGAGAGACAGAGAGGTGAGAGACAAATTGAGAGAGAGAGAGAGAGAGAGGGCAAGGATGAGAGACAAAGTGTGTGTGAGAGAGAGAAGCTATCGATGAGTGAAGATGAAACACAAGTTAAGAGAGAGAGGCCAAGGATTAAAAAAAAAATTGTGAGAGAAGCCATCGATGAGAGATAAAGAGAGAGAATAAAATGTTTGAGAGAGAGAAGCCATGGATGAGCCATAAAGTGTGTGTGAGAGGGAGAGAGACAGAGATGTCATACATGAGAGATAAAGTGTGTGTGTGAGGGGGAAAGAGAGAATTAAATCTATGAGAGAGAGAGGGATGATGGAAAGTGAGTGTATTTAGAGAGAGAGCTATGGGAAACTTAGTGTGCGTGTGTGTGTGTGATAGAGAGAGAGAGAGAGAGTTGAGCTATTTGGAAATTAAGGGAGAGAGATAGATGAGAGTTATTGGAAATTGAGTGTAATTACGTGGAAGCCAAAGTGAGAGATTCGTCTGTATATGTAAGAAGAAGCCAATTGCATAATGTTGCTCTGCAAATATGAAAAACATTGCTACTCCCCATTGCATTAAGATTGGAAATGGCCGGTGAGCGGTGATATGCTCGGTGCAACCCTACTCCCTTTTGTCCTCTTCAACCAGGCCCCACAATACTCCTTCCCACTGTATTTATTTAACTCTCTCTCTCTCTCTCTCCTTCCAATCTAATTTTGAAGCCTACATACATCCCTATAAATCCTAAAAAGCTCCATACTTGTGTTGTGGATTCCACTTCCAGTGAGTTACTGCAAGACTCAACTAGCTTTGTGCAGTTTATTGGATTATAACATGGTATCAGAGCTAGGGTTTTTCGATTCAATGCCAGACAGGAAGCCAGAAGAGAAGATTGGATTATCTTATGGCCAAAATCCCTGGGTTTGGAGCGCAAAGCAAAGAAACAAAGAAGATGACTCATGGGAGGTGAGAGCATTTGCGCAGGATACAAGCGGCCCGACATGGCCTCCGCGCTCTTATACATGCGCCTTTTGCAGGAGAGAGTTCCGCTCGGCTCAGGCCTTAGGGGGCCACATGAATGTGCACCGAAGGGACCGAGCGAGGCTCCTCCACCCTTCCCCAAACCCTTACCCCAACGCTAATTCTCTTCTCGTCACAACAACCCAGGATTTTCCTAGAGGACTCTGCTTCCTTTATCCCATCCAAAACCCTAACCCTAATTCTTCACCACCCATGTTCAGCCCCAATACCGACCCTACCATAAATTCTATGCCGACTCTTCTCTCGATCTCTCCCCATCCTTCCGACACTACGCACTCATTTCCTTCTCCTTCCTCCGCTCAATACTTCCCAATATCTGCTTCAGCTCTAAGCCACTTGCACAACTTGGAGCACGCTTTCATGGTGGAGGCCGAGGCTCCCATTATGGAGCAAGAAGAAGAGCTAGATCTCGAGCTTCGGCTTGGGGTGAGGGCGGCAAAGTGAAGCATACTGTTCCTCTATTTGTCTTCCTTTATATCAATCTACAAACTATTTGTTTCTTAACAATGATTCCAATGCGTGTTATATTTCTCTTTAACCTAAATGACGTTTTATCCAAACAAGAAAAAATGTACCAAGAAAACAATGCAGTGGTTTTTTTCAACAGTCATTTGTTGATTTCCATACATAAAACCCTAATTGTATGATCAAATGTAAAAACAATGGCTTGATAAAAGAATGTTACTGTTATGTGATTAAACAGTGATTTCCACTAGAAAAAACTGCTTTTTTTATTTATTTGTTGTTATGCACTTTCTTAGGGATTAAGCCTCTTGAGGAATGGGTTCACAGAGAAATAAGGATAAGGTGCAATTTGGGCTTAAAAGTTTTAAGTCCTTAAGTCTTAAAAGGTAATAACATTTGATAGAATCTGCAGCTCTCTTTTTGTCTTTCTCTTCTCTCTAACTTTTCCATGATATTTAGCTCTTGACCTTTATCTTTTTGTTCCCATATGATTGTGCAATCCATGAAATGCTCTTTTTTGTCTCAATTGGAATTGGGTTTTCTTAGGTGACTCCTCTCTCTCTCTCTGTGGCATGAGAAATGAGTAATAGACGGCCTTGTCGTATGTCGAGGACATGTAAGCCCATAGTTTATACATGCCATTGCTGCACTGCAACTTGAGTTTGAGACTTTGAGTACTTAGCTAGCAATCCATGTTCTTCTAATTTAATAAATTAAGCATGGAATTGAGAGAGAGAGAAAGAGAGTCCCAGGTTCTCAAAAAGTAAGTTTGGAAGCAATCTTGGTTGCATATGGACTTTTGCTTTTACCTGACACATAGCCATGAAAGTTGCAAATTATCCTGTGCAGTGCAAACCTTCCTCTCTAACTCTCTCTCTAAGTTAGAATGGAAAGATATACATTAGTTTGTCGATATAGGTAAAAAGATAAAGAGGGTGATCGCATTGGGATTGCTAAAGTTTATGCGTGTGTCAGTTGCCGTTAGAGGTTTAGTCTTCTTCGTGCATGACTGGTCCCCTAACAATAATTGGGTCTCATGAGGGCTGGACCGTATTTTTATATATACGATCCAGAAAGTGTAAATTGTCTCATGAGGGCTCGACCGTATATATACGATCCAAAAAGTGTAAGGCATCCGAGTAGGTGTTCCATCTAAAAACAATGAAATCTAACATTCCAAATATTTTTTATTAGAATTATTATTTCTAATTTTTTAAATTTATTTATTTTTTCATATTCATTATCTCTATATTAGATATTACATGTAATTAAAAATTAAGTCTTAAAATCCATCTCAAAAATAGATTTATTAAGAAGCACACATTTCTACATGTAGCATAGAAACAGGTTCCAACAATAATTACCCTCTTCTCTCTCCCATCTCTGAATTTTCATGTTTCTCTCTCTCTCATCTCCAAATTTTCATGTTTGTCTCTCTCTTTTCAGTTTCTCTCTCTCATCTCAAAATTTGCATATTTCTCTCTCTTCTCAGTTTCTCTCTCACATCTCCAAATTTGCATATTTCTCTCTCTTCTCAGTTTCTCTCTCTCATCTCCAAATTTGCATGTTTCTTCTCCAAATTTGTAGGTTTCTTGTCTCTTATCTAGAAATTTGCATGTTTCTTGTCATCTCGCTCTCATCTCCAAAGTTGTGAGTTTCTTGTCATCTCCCGCTCCAATCTTTCTCTCTCCTCACTCTCTCTCTCTACAAAGAGGCTGAGAATGCCTCAAGAGAACAAAGAAAAGGAAAATGAAGTAAGACAGGAGAAGGATTGAGAAGAAAGAGGAAGGAAAGAATCAGAAAGAAAGAATTTCAGCCAAGTTATCCATCAACAACTGCCGAGGAGCGGTAGAAGGATTGTTGCGTCACTTGATAACATTCAAAAAATCACCTTCTATTATCACATGAGAGTATGAGTCCCCAAGATTGGCTACCCCAAACTTCAAGCTTAGGAGTTCGGCTTCATTAGCCTGACATTGTGGAAGGGTCCCTTTCCCTTTCATGAACTTGACCTGCATGATTCCTTAGGGCTCCCCTATAGCCTGCGATATGCCCATTTTCTCTAGAACTTCCATCAAAATTTAACTTAATCCATTAGTGCAGAGGGGGTTTCCACAATTCAGCTTTCCCAATTCTATGTTTACAAAGCCGGAGAAGTTGAAAAAAAATGCTATGAAAAGAGTTCTTTTGGGATGTTCATGAAGAAAGGATGTGCCGGCGATAGTTCTCTTCTCTCACTCCAATGTTAGCCCTCAAGAGGAATTACAGTCAGTTACAAATTTAAAACTTGGACTCGGACTTGATGTGTTACAGTCTAAACCCAGACTCAACGGTTCGAGCACCAAAGGGTCCATGATTTGGTCAGACTCTAGTTAGTCTATCCAGTACCATTATTATATAAATACTAACACAAATAGTACGTGTCTTAAGTATTTAGTATGTCAACCCAAAAATTCAGTACGACCTTATTGGGCGATTAGTCATACTACAAGACTAAGTACACTTCAAGAAATTTATATACAAGCCCCAGGGTGTAATGTAAGTATTGAGCAGAGCAAAATGCAATTGGAGGTGGTGGCGGCTTGTCGGCTGTTTCTGTTAGCATTAGCATGAGTGTCATGGGTTCGAATCCCATGAACAAAAACGCATTTTATCTATTATGAAATGACGAGATGCCATGTTGGTATAAGAAAAAGAGGACACCAAAAATTAGAAAAATACGTAATCATTATCTAAAATTACGTGGAAAGTTGGGCAACGAGCATTTTTTTATTTTTTCAAAATTGCCCCTCGATCCATCCCCATACCGCTTTTTTTATATAAAATAATAATAATATTTTTCAGAATGGGGATGTGCCCCAACTTTTACGGCAGTTCCCAGTCAGTCTAGGGAACAATTTGAGGTTCCCATCTTTGGATAGCCAGTTTCTTCATTGCCAAATGAGACTATCAACAGTTCGAGGATGGGAACCTCATACCTCTCCAAAACTGAGCTACGGTCAGTCCAAAGAGCAGTCTGAAGTTCTTATACTCGAAATTGCTCATTTATTCATTTCTAAATGAGAATATGGACAATTCGAGGATGGGAACCTTAGACCCTTCTAGAGATCAGCTCTGCTAAGTCTAGGGAGCAGTCCAAGGTTTCTATGCTTGGACCACCCATTTCTTCATTCCTAAGTGAGAATATGGGCCTTCTGATGATATCCTCGAACCGATGGAGCACTGCCCTAAAACTTGGGCTACAACCCTATTTCAAAAATTGTTTAAAAAATTTAAAAAAGCGGTCAAGGATGGCATCCTTGGACCAAGGGGATATTTTGAAAAAATAAAAATAAAACATGTGGGTTGCCCAAAATTGGCCAATTTCGTATTTTCCTATTCTTTTGAGTCCATACATAAATTACGGTAAGAAAAATTATCAACAAGTATGGGCAACATGACAAATCCATTTATACATGTGTTGACATGTGATACGTATCAACACGTGACACAGGAGAATAAGTCAAGTGTTTGTGTAGCACTGTCAGACACCCAATAGGTTAGAGTCACTAAGTTTTCAAACACAAATTTTAATGTTTAATATAGTTATCAAGACCGGACTGGTGTCTAACCGGTTACTGACTATGCCTTAGCATGTCTAATCTAGAGTAAAAACTAAAATTGGTTAAGAACTAATCAAAGAAACCATTATTTGACCAGTTGTAGCTAGTCCAATAGGCTAGTTTCAACTGGTTTAATAGGCCAAACAAAGTGGGCAGCTTTTTCTCTAAAATATTGCATATTTTTAAGTTATTTTTCACATTTTTTAATATTTTTAAAATCCAGTCAAATCAGTTCAACTAGAAGTTAGACTGATTTTGATTAGACTCGACCCCCACCGGTTCGATGGCCAAGTCGATCCTAATAGCGTTGATGTTTATATTTGACTACACTACACTTATAAGCTTGATTGAATATGAAATTATTCATCTCAAAGATAATTACAGACAAACTTGATCTCAAAGCTTTAGACTCTTTTGTAACTTCATCTCAAAGCTTTAGACTCTTTTGTGTAGCTATGTCTTGATTTTTATGATTAACCTAATATGTATCCTATTTCGACCCCGGGCCCTCATGCTCCTAACCCTAATTGATGGGTCTGGGGGCATGCCTCCAACTGAGGGGTGGGCGGTTCGAGAGGAGGAGCCGCCTCCCATTAGAGGAAACTCAGAATATGCTTTTCTAGGTGAAGGTAAGAGACAATAATTAAGGTCTCTAAGTATAAAGTCCGTATGCGTGTTTGGCTCGAAGAAAGAGATTTTTTAAGGGAGAATGTCTAGTACTTTAGGAGCTACCATAGCCCTTAATTGTTATCTCATGCAAAAGTAGTCATATTTGTGACAAACCACATAAATTTTAATGGATTTCTTATGTTTTATTTCATGTCTAGCGGTATGACTAGTGTGTTTCTTGTCCGCTCTTATTCTTTTTTCTTTCTCATTTGACCGCAACAAAACTAGTTAAGAGTTTTGCACAATACAAATCCCATAATTCAAATACTAAATATGGCAAGAAATGTGATCAAATTTCATATAAGATTCAGATTATGATCAAATTTCCTGTGAGATAGAGATGATCATTCACATTCCCCTTACAAAATATAGACACTAAACACTAATTATTTATATTCAACCATTGTCATTTTTTTATCTTACTATTTTTTTTATGAGACTGGAATTGGGTTTGGGGCGATTAGCATTCTTATTTTTTATCAATCTTAAGTTTAATTTTATTTTTTTATCGATCTTAAGTTTTTAATATCTTTCTTTATTGAGAGGAAAATAAGAATAAGAATTGCCAGAATTTAATAGTGATTGGGATTTTTTATGAGGCAAGTTAAGGCTTTAAGATTTCTTTTCAAATAAAAGACAAGGAAACAAATATAGGAAGACTCTTGTGAAAAGATCTTTTAGGTTGGATGCCCTCGAAGACCTACAGAG